AGCTCTAGATTGAAAGAACGGGCCTTTTCTAACTCTAAGTCTTCTTTAGTAGGCAACGAAGAAAGACGAGAGCATTTTTCAGCACCAGTCATCTGACTTAATCTATATATTTATTTATGATGAGTTGAATTGTGCCCTAAGCGTTATTGACTCCAGAGGAGGCATGGAGTAGCTAGTTCAGCTGTAGACACCACCTTTCAGTAAGATGCTATGCCAGGAGATGCATCAGACTAGACCTCCCAGCCAGATTGTATTAGGAGCATAAACAAATGTTGGAAGTTGAACCTGAGATATTCAAAGGCAGATACTACAGCTTAGTTCAGGTAAGGTATGATGATGTAAAGATGGGTTAAGCTGCTGAGCCAACATGCTATTCATCATTTACCTTGCCAAACCCAGTGGAGCTACGCTGGATAGTGTTATTCAGATCAGAGTGAAATTTTTTTGGTCGGCTGCTATAAGTAGACAAAATAGGATGCAATAGAGATAGCATTTATTTTCCATATATAGATTTATTTTATTCATTTTTGTCTTTCAGTTTTCAAATTAAAACAATATTTTTCTTGTTATCAGTGGTGCATGGTGGTAGGACAAGAGGCAAGGATATAAGGAAAGCCTTTTCCCCATTAGAACAGTGAAGCATTGGGATAGGTTACCCAAAGGGGTTGTGTAGTCTCTGTCTTTGGAGATTTACCTGGATAAAGCCCTGAGCAACCTGGTCTGAACTCAGAGCTGAGTCAGCTTCGAGCGGTAGGTTAGACTAGAGACCTCCTGGAGTCACTTCCAACCTGAATTATCTCTATGAAAGATTAAACATAATAATATATAAAAGCTATTTCAATATATGCTTTAAAGATCATTAATACAATGTCAGTTTAGTTTGATTAAACCACCTACCTCATAAAAGAAAGCAACATTTTTGAGGAGAGAGTGGAACAGTTCTGCAGAAGCTTTGAACTACTCTGTTAGTTCATATCATTATTCAGTTCTGGAAAGATTTATCTTATCTATACAAAATTCAGACCCAGAAACATGCTCCACAGCCCAAGGCCGCTTTAGTAACTTTCTTGCAAGCAGTGCAGTAGAGACATCATGCAAAGTCTCATACTGATATTCTTGGCTCCTGACATAACTACTGGGGGTACAAGCATCTGGTACGCCTTCATGCATTGGATATCACCACTGGATAAAAGCAGAGTGCAAAATTCTAATTACACTGAAGACAATAACAGCTTTCCAGTTGATTGACTGGGACAAAGCTTTTAACATATGATCTGCAAACAAACCTTATTCCAGTTACTTAAATTCTGTGTGTGCAATAGAAACCATTTTAAATCAAAGGTATGGCTTTAACAGACAAGAATTGCAATCATCCAAGATAAAGAAAAGTAATGTAATAAGGTAATTCTGGCTGTTCTGTTCATACCAATTACCTTGCTCATGCTGTTCGTAGGAATTGTCACTATATTTTCACCCCATTCCATAATATCGCATGAATCCAGTAAATCTATTAATTGGGAATAACTCTTATTGATTAACTGTCAATTGAATTTGGGTCATTGTAATCACAAGAAAAGGGGGGAAAATATCTTTGACATTAATCTTGTTTCCTAGTCTGCCAAAACGGATATTCTTAAAAAGGAATATACATTTGGAACAAAGCTATCTAACCTCAAAAAACTATTGAACTACATATTTTGATATTTGAGAAATAATTCATAGAAAATATGCTTGGAAGCTAAAATCACAAATCATCGATGCTTTTCTTGGTTTTCTTATTACTCTTAAACCATGTTGATTTCATTCAGTATGTGCTGGTCTGGAATCTGCCAAAGGGTAAGAAAACTTTTCATTTTGACAAGATATTAAAGTTCACATCATTCTGTAGGTATTTTGTGCTTTGAGAAAAGGCCCAAAATGTACATTGTTACTTCTGTAACATCAAGAGAAAAAAAGGCTGTGCATTTACACTTTGTATATATATCTATTGGCCAAATTGCTAAATCTAGCCCTGGTCGTATAAAAAAAAAAATAATAATCACAACTGTACTTTGTCTGTTATTCTCCCTGAGACTACTAACAACAGAAATGATTTGGGGGATATTTTTAAAGAAGCTTGAATGAACCGGGAACATATTTTCAGGATTACTCGGTGTTTAATAATGATTAGCTTCTATTCAGCCATAGATTGAGTATCCCAGAATTGCCCATGAATGAAGAGCGTAATTTAGCCTTCTGCTCCTCTGCTTTTGCTGCCTATCAATGGACATTTTGCTATTGACGTGTGTGACAGCAAGCACAAGCTTTTATTTCCTTTTCGTAATGGTTGTTCACATATGGAGCAATTTATAAAACCACCTGTATTAGGAAAGACTCTCCATGCCTGATTTCCAGCGATGGCCAAGGACATGCAGACTGTCCTTGCACTCATGCTTCGTCCCAGGCCCTGTCCTAGGCTTTATCCAGCAGCAGCTTTACTTCCTAGATTTGCCTGCTAATAGTCCTGGGGGAGAACAGCGAGACAGTCAAAGTTTATTTTCAGGGATTTGAAAGATGGTTTCAGGAAAGAAAGGAAAGAAAATATTAAAGAAATATGCTACAAAACCAGAATTGCAACAGTGAACTTCTAAGATCAGGTAAACTTTCATGGAAGTGCTGTGTGGAGGGACGGATATCTGGATGCTTTGGCACAAAGCGCTGTAGAGCAATTATTGTACTCCCTCTGTGCATTGCACAGAAATTGTGTCATTTCATGCATCATTCACAACTTTCATTACTGATACCACAACATCTAAATTATTCTGAGCATGAACAAAGCAGATATCACTTTGGCTAGTTGTAGACTAGAAACCTTGGGAGTGGATGACAGCGTTTTCATTTTATTATAATATCAAGAGATGCATAGCTTCCGAACTTAAGGCTTGATTTTAAAAATCTTGAAGAACTTGTATTCTGTCTTGAATGTCCTTCTTCCCCTCCAGAAATGTTACTGTTCTGTGCTGAAAGAAGGGGTTACTTTTTATATTTATCATTCAGTATGCTTCTTTAATAAGAGAGGTGGGCAACTGAAAAAATTAAGAGATTTCACCGCAGTTAGTTTGTCATTAGGCTTAGGTTTGTCGTTACAAGGGTACAACAGCAGGTCATCCAACAGTTGTCCAACAAGGACAGTTTGAACTTTTGAAGATGAGGAGTGACTGCTGGTTATGGGGCCACCTTTGAAGGCCATGTGAAAGCAGTGCTGACAGCTCCTGGTTGGAAAGACCTGGCTGTGTGCCTCCAGTGTGATCTTCTTCCATGCAGGCACATCAGTGACTCATCCTGAACCTGGCAGTGGAGCAGGCAGGATCATTTCACAGTTTGCAGAGATCATAAACTCCAGGAATTTTAGAGAATTCTCCTTCTAGAACTTTTGACTGAGTTTTAGCACAAGGCTGCAGGACCGGATCATCTTTCTGTGTGTACTCTTTTCAGTTTTTTGAAGGACAGTGACACATACATTCCACTATAAACATATATGCAGCTCATGAGTTAGTTTTGGGGCTTTTCTCAGCATTAGGGCAGGAGATACATGTCCTCAAGCTCTCATTGATGCCAAGAAGAGCTAAACCACCTTCTAGTCTCCTTTCGTAGCTAAAGAAGGGAAATAGATGCTCACAGGATGGTTTTCATACGGCCTATTTTAGACACCTACTTTTCAATTGCATGAATTTTATCTTTTTCTATTCCAAAAAGATCTCCACTTACTATGAAGGAAACCTAAGGTGACTAACTTAGGTATAGATTTCTACACAGCAGAGACTAAACTGAGATAACATTAGCCACACTCTTGAAACTCTAAGTTTGGATTTACTGTATGGAGTCATGTAGCATCCTATCCTGTACCTAATCAAAAGGCACTATTACAGGATGCAAAGTATTCATCTAATATAAGCTCACTTTGCTTGTTCTGACAGGCATTCATAAAACGCAGACTTTGTGCTCAGTACTTGTCAGCTCAAGCACTATTGTCCACAATACCCTCAGTTAATACTGATAGTGCTAGTCACTCTACTGGCCACAAGATAAATCAGTTCTCATTTGTCCTTCAGTGGCAGTCCTGAAGGCAGCATGCACCTCTGCCCTTTAGCTAGCTCAGCAGAAATGTGATCAATTCTTCTACCTGAAGGAGATAAAGTTTACTGTGCTACACCTCCTAAAACAGGCCACAATCCTTCCTAAAAATCTATGGAAGCTAAAATATGTCTTTAGGTTCAACACCTTCAGTTGGAGAAAAAACAAAACAGACGTCATCTTCCCTGTTCTCCCGGTCATCCTCAAAAGCAGTGGAAAGTAGTAGCTTTGAAGAAGTTGATGTCAAGAAGATCTCTTTGTAGCCTCAAAATGACATTTCTCTATACAGCACCGTATATCATCCAGCACTGAATGGGATTACAGCAAAAAAGATCTTCCAGAGAAAGTTGCGGTGGTATTATCATCTCCAGCACCATTTTGTTCACAGCAGCTCTTTCTCCTGGCATCTGGAAACTGCTCATTCCTGTACTCACTTCCACGGCACCACCAGGACTGGTTTTCGATCAAGTATCATTTACTCGATGTTATTGCAGCTGGGTGGGTTTTACTGTTCCAAATACTGGACTAAACTGGCACCGTAAGTTTGTTTGAACAGTGGCTCAAGAGCTTGTATGATAGTATGTATCTTAAGTAAGGTAGTGTTAATACCGTCTTAAATTTCTAGAGATCTGCTCACTTCCTATTAGCAACATGCAGTTAAAAAGAAATCTGAATAGGCATCTCATTGAAAAGTGTACAGTTCATATTATTTTTAATTTTCTTAGAATCCAACGGCTCAGGAAGATTAAACAGTTATTAAACATGCATGGTCAAGCACCGTTGTTTAATTTTCACACCTTACCGATTTTGGAATTACTTATCTTGATTCCTTTTTCGTTGTTTCCATATTTTGAATAGAATTAATGAAAGGACGAGAAGAATGAAAAATGGCTGAGTTCTTATTTCCCGGTACCAACAACTTCCGTAAGTTCACTGTTGAATCCTTGGCCGCTATTGAAAAGAGAATCGCTGCCAAAAGGACTTGTCAAAGAAATACTGTAGACCAGAGACCTGAAGAGAAACCGCGCCCTCAGCTGGATCTAAAAGCTTTCCAGAAGTTACCTGCTCTCTATGGAAATCCTCCTCCGGAGTTCATTGGGGAACCACTGGAGGATCTTGACCCATACTACAAAGATCGTAAGGTTAGAGCCAACCAAATTGTATGGAGTTTCATTTGTTTTACTGTGTTGCTGAGAAGTGTTTATGTATGTGAATGATTTGTCAAAACAGCATGCAGTTACATCTCCTTTGTAAAAGTTATCATTGCCTTTTAGGTTATAATAATGCAGGTGCTTGGCACAGCTGAATGACATGCAGTAATCTCATAAAAAAGCTTAATTGTGAATTATAAAAATTAAGTAATATGAATTTCATTTGCATGGTTTATTCAGCACTTGAATCTTGCTTGAGCCTTCCAGGTGGGTCTTGCACAGCACATACCCGTGTGACTTGCGCAGACACATGGTTCAGTTTTACGTGGCACGCTGTTCCACAGCACAGCCGCTGCGGCATGTCTACGGCGTGTCCGGAGATCTGCTTGAAACTGCCGAATCTGAGAGCTGAATGTCGTTGACAGCAAATGCACTACCGTCTCACGCTTGTACAGAAATCTCTGTACAATCTTGTTTTGATCAAAAGCACATTCTTAGGTCTAACTGTGTTACGCAATACGCAAGCTGAGCAAAAGCAACTACATTATAAACAACATCTTGATCACTTTATCCCATTTGTTTTCCTGTGTTACAAATGCATGGTGCTTTTAATACGGAAATATTACATGTGTGTATATGACTGCAAGGAAGAACCATTTTTTTTCAGATTCATGCCAGCTTTTCCAGAAAGTATAGTTTATGCAAAGAAAAATGCTTGAAATTTTGGGATGTTAAAACCATAAAAGTAATTTCTCTTATTAGTTACGAAAAAAAGCTGGATATAAATAATTAAAATGGATAAAGGAAGAAAAGGGTTTGAGTCAGCTCTATGAGAAATGATAATAATTTTGTAGATTCTCTTAATTATTTTATATGGTGTGAAAAAGCATATATTTCTATCTCAGTGTTTGTGTTCCACTTACATATACAATAAATGATCATCTGAGTATAAGCATTCTTTTAAAACATTTCCTGATGAGTCCTTAAAACCTACCTAGTCCAGCTCCATAATCTAAGTAGAGTACACTTTTTAGTAAAGAACAGAGAAATGGGAATTAATTCATTGGAGATTAATCTTATTGCTTGAGAAATGATTAATACTTTAATTGATTTCTATAATCTTAGAGCTGGAGGATCTCCATGAATATTAGAATATAATGACAGAGGCTGCAATTCCTCCTTTCACCTCTACACAGTTTAACTCAATGACAGGTTCAACTTATTTAAAGAGAACAGTCATGAGCAAAAGTAGTTCTGTGCACAACTCTTTATAAGTCTTAGAGTTTAAAAAGGAATTTTGATGCTGAGATTTTTTTCCATTTTGATAGTTAGTAGATATTAACTCTTTCATCAGTTTGTGATAAAAGGATTCCAAAGTATTACCAGGAGTCTTCCCATTTAAATAAATAGTTTAGAGGTTAATTCAATGTCAAGCTCTTGCTTGTCATCGCTTGTTGCACAGGATATAATGCAAAAATGTGTTCTCTGTTCAGCTTCCAGAAAGCTTTATTGGATTTTTTTTTATTATTTTTTTTTAAGATTTTCATAGTGCTGAACAAACAGAAAACAATCTTCAGGTTTACTGCTACACGTGCCTTATGGATCCTGAGCCCTTTCCATCCGCTCCGAAGAACAGCAATTAAAATTTTAGTACATTCATATCCTTTATGTTGTTGTCATTCGTTCTTTTTTATTACAAAGACCTATGTAATACTGTGCTGTTACGTTTTAGGGCACTGAATGAATCCAGTCTCTTCCTCATTCCGGATGACTGCTTATTATAAATGAACTTAGAAATTATTATTATCTTGTGCTCTTGTTCTACTTAGAAATGAATAGTTTTGTGAGTATTGGGGGAAATGAAGACTGACTTTCTACAGATTTGTGTTTTGAGAAAAATCTCTGATGTTGACTGTCTGATGTCTCTTAAACAGATATATCTCATTCTGAAGCCTTTCTCAGTGAGAAAATTAATAAGGTTTCCGTTCCCTATCTCATCTTCTGTGTACCCAAAATGTAGGAATTAAATCTCTGGTTTTGCAGCAGCCAGGTCAGATTTGATCAACCAGCAGGCAGTTTCAAGAAAAGAAGTCTGACAAAGGCACATATACAAACAGAGAAAGTACAATTTCGTAAACTAAGTTTAGGAAACCTGGTTTAAAAGCATATCTTTGATACATGAAAGGGAAGAAGGATGCCTTTGGAATGAAAAGTTAATAGAGAACCCCTCCTCGCACCTAAATGCTCCAGAACTGACCACGTGTGCAGAGCAAGCTGTGATGAGTCTGAGCTGTCTTCACAGTGAAGTGTCTCCTTGGAGACTTTCCCTGGACAGCAAGATGGATGGCTCTGTACTTGTGGTACAGCCCCTGCGATTGTGATAATATTTGAAAGAACCTACAATTGCAGCCAGGAGGTTTTTTTGAGGGTGGAGAGGGCAAATGAGGGAAAAGGTAGATTCCTTTCACATGCACATTGACCTCCTGGACTGCTGAAACTCCTGTGAGAGGAGTGAGATGCAGCTCCAGGACAAGGCACGTAAGCTTAGGTGTCAACACGTGAGCTAGATGTCCACGTTCCCATTAGTCCCGTGAGGTCAGAGGGTCCCAGAAAGCAGCGGGGCACCCATTACAGATGGTGAAACATAAGCATCTAGTGTCCTTTGAGATGCCCACATGTATCCTCACAAACCTCCCAGGAGCCCCTGAGAAGAGCACAGATGCTCTAATTTAGAGACAATTTTGGGCTCCATCTGTGTGGTCTGGGACAAGTTATTTAACTTTTGCAACATATATATTTATATAAATAGATAAATAATATATTTACTTTGGAGTTTAATAAGGAGTACGTTATTATCATTACTATTTATATTCCGGTGCTGGTTCAAACTGTTACCTGAAAAGTCCCAGTCTCAGCACTGAAAAGATCACAATTTAATTAAAGCTCAAATTCCAGAAGTTGCACAGGTTATGAAGGGGAAGAAGAGAGGCAGAAAGAGCGCAGTGAAACATGTTTTAGGCATATGATCTTGCACCTAGTTTCCGTGTGCAAGGAAAGCTGAAGTTTTAACTATTTGATAGCTGAGTTCAGTTCCCAGCTCTGTTCCAGCTTTCTCTGAGGCCTTAAGTAAACCCAGTAGTCCCTATTTAACAATTTCCCTGCTATAAAATGAAACTAAAAATGCATCTTTCCTCCCACCCTTTGTCGACACTAGTTTACCTGAATGCCTGAGGTGTTTAGGGACAATTTTACCAAATTTACGCCTAGAGCAGTGGATGTCTAGCCTATATTGGAGTCAAGCTGTGCAAAATAACAACAGTAGTGTATTGTGATCCACTATGAGCCAAAATTGCTAAATTCATATGCATACAGCTCTTGCCTATGCTGTAAACTCTAAATCAAATGTTAGGTCTATAACTGATAACATATCTAGCCACGTTTTCTGATCTGATGTCATACTCTTTGCCTTCACTCCTGTGACTTACATTATTCACTTGGTTTATTATGTGCACTATTATAACTAATTGTGTGTTCATGGCACTGAATGAGTCATCTAAGGTTTCTCAATCTCCTTCTTGGAGCAAGTATATTGAGTAAGTATCTCTGGGTATGTATATATTTTAATTCTGTAGTTTTAATTAACTAGATAGCCATAACTTTCAGTCCTCATCCAAAATAGCCTAGAGAGGATTTAGTAGGGAATTTGTGTGAGTTAGGACTTCAGCATTTTCTGCTTTAGCAGTTTTTTTTTTTTTTTGCCTTTAAATTCAAGTGTTCTTTACAATAATTTTGGATTTACAAAAGTGAGCGTAGATTAAGATCCACAAAAGTGCTATTGAATTGGAATGGTTGTATCTTGCCGCTCCGTTTTGTTGTCCCATGTTCTGAAGTTACTCAGTGATTATTTACTCTTTATCAAGGCAAATTTCCCATTGGTGTCAGCACTGATCAGGCATTTCAAGATCTACTGTCTTTTTAAATTCTTTTTAATAATTTTAAAATGCTGAATGTTTGCACTAATAAAATGTTCTGTGACATGCTTCTGGTCTGTAGGACTCTGTTAGAAAGTAAAGCTCTTATCTTCAGCACTGCCAACACTTGCGATGTTACATCACAGTAAATCCATGTCTTTGGAGTCATATTAAAACTGGATAATCCTTTTGTTTTTAAGTGTATTTCAGCTCTTACACTTTGGCAGAAAAAGGCTAGAATATGAACCCTGCTAATTCTAACACACAAAGCAAAGAAGAATACTTGGTTTTAAATTAGTTTAATTCCAAAATACTTAGTTTTAAAAACAGTCCTGCAATTGTTTCTGATTATTTCACAAAACATGACGAGGAAAGAGTTGGGAATGGCAAACCTGCATCCACACAGGAACAAGACTCTGAGTGATATCAACCTACGTATCTCCAGTTGATGCTGGGATGCCTCCCTAACTTCCTGTGAGAGAATTAGAGGTTAGACAGAGTCGTATCTGCTTTTGGCATTGCAACTACTGTCCAAATGCATTTCTGCAATAATTTGAGAATACTTCTTTCTAAATGAAAAGGGAAGCGCTGCATCCATATAATTTCTTAATGCATTTCCTGACTACCACATGAATGCCTTTTGAATTCTGTAGGGAGATCTCTCTCTTATTGAAATGATAAGTGCACTCAATAAGTCCAGAAGAGCTTTTACTGATAATTAGCCATTAATAAGAATAATTGCCATCTTAAATTGAAAATCCTGTACTCCTGTATTTCTCTAAGTGTTTTAAGCATTCTGCACAGAAGTGGAGGTTGCATGCCCAAAGTAAATAACACACAGCATATCACACGTTTGCTTGGCCACTTGAAGCCAGAAGAAGATAGGAATTTTGATCAATATTTTAATAAGTGTCGAGAAAATTTGTGTGTCTCAAATTACGGAGATTGGCATGAAAGCTTTAGAAAAAAATTATTAAATGCCAGAAAGCGTGTCGCAGATATGCATGTTAATAGCCACATCCTGCTAGTTGTCAACTGCTGTCTCAAGCTACACGCTAGTCGGATACTGATGGCATACCCTAAAATCAACAGGAGTCTTCCCATTACTTCTCCGGTTCCTTAGTCTAGACAGTGAATAGTCTGACTGCGTCTCTTATCCTCTTCTATTAACTGCTAATGCTGCCTTCTTTGGCACTTTTCTCCCTTAGATTCACTTTCACTGGCATTTACACTTTCGAATCATTGATAAAAATACTGGCAAGAGGATTCTGTCTAAATGAATTTACCTTCCTTCGAGATCCGTGGAACTGGCTGGATTTCAGCGTTATCGTTATGGCGTAAGTGGAGACATACAGAATATAGATTACTCGCAGTCATGCTCTGCTTTTGAGGTTTTTACTGCGGTGCTGCCGGGGCAGTCCTCATGTGCACACCACAAAACGGTTTTGTGGGTCAGAACTACACCTGAAAACTGTGCAGAACATCGAGTCTTCCCCATGATTTGTCACCCACTGTATAATAGCAGTATGTTAGTCTTTCGAGAAGGGAATAGAAGTTATGCAGAGCAAGATACAGTTAATCATCTGTTTAATCCCATTGCATATTGCTCAATGGTCTTTTTACACGAACGGTTGCATTTCGATCAGTGTGATGTAATAGTAGTACTGTAAAATATAAATATACTGATAGTGTGAATGAAAATGTAAGTTTGAAAATAGAATGATATGCATAGAAACTAGAATATTGGATTAAATTTAGGTTCTTTATGTCCGAAATCATAGTTTGAGCTTCAATTTGCAGTAATCAGAAAGTTTTTGTAGTGGTTAGAGCCAGCAACAAAAGGGAGATGGAATCAAACCATCCGAGCCAATGTTTCAGCCTCTGCCTGAAATGGATAATTTTGAGTAATTTTACTGTTACCTTTCCTTATATTTTAAGTGCATGGCATTTTAAGATGCTGACACGAAATCAGTGGTGCACAAGCCAAGGACGACCTTATAAGGAAATTCTAATAAGGCAGAAATGATTTTCTGTTTTATAGCACTTCAGACAAATCCTTGAAAGTTTATGAATGCTAAAAATATGCTGAAAAGGATTAACCGTTAAGAATAGCTAGGGTAAAATAATTGACCTGCTTACTCGGTTCAGTAGCTTGACATGTCATGCCTTGGCTTTGCAGATATGTGGGAGCATTTAGTTACTCGGGGAGTGTATCAGTCCTCCGGACATTCAGGGTTTTGAGAGCTTTAAAAACTATTTCCGTAGTCCCAGGTAAGAAGCCTCATTTGCTGAATAATTTGTTAGTTGCACCAATTGTTTCTTCCAATCAAAATGTTGGGTTCTACTTTTTCTTTATTTTTTTTTACTGTATCTTTTACCGCTTGCAGACATAGTTGAATTTGTGGACACAAATAATGCCCACTCAGACTAAATCAAATATTAGAAACAATCTTGTATTCCATTTATTTGCACTACATTTTTAAAGATTACAAATTAGGAATCAGTGGGTTGCTCATGTTCTCTTTTGGTCTTTTTAACCATATTCGTTATTGTTTGCAATCTTTTTAACCATATTCGTTATTGTTTCCAGTGTTCACAGATTCTTCAGAAGGTATTAGTATCAGAAATATTTGAATTACACGTATTCCTCTTTCTGAATAAGTAAAACTAGACTATTTCTGGTCCCTCATCCTCACATAAATGTATTGCAGAGAATAAAGGAACCTCTCTATCACCGTGAATGTGGCAGGGTCAGTCAAATGAGGAAAAAATATTGTTCTCCTGTTAGTCACTCTCTCATCCGAACTATACAAATGTGACACGTGAAGTTCAGTTTTACAGTCTGTTTTCCCTTGTATATTATCTCCCTAGGACTCAAGATCATTGTAGGTGCACTCATCCAGTCTGTTAAGAAACTTGCTGATGTGATGATCCTGACAGTTTTCTGCCTGAGTGTCTTTGCCCTCATTGGCCTCCAGCTTTTTAAGGGCAATCTGAGACAAAAGTGTATCAGGAACTATACAAAGCTCAGTGATATTATTTATTCCAATAACAAAACATGGGACTCCTTTGAAATGTTTGCTAATGATACAGGTAATTTTTCTTCTTTGCTCTTTTTAGTACGATGCTCTACACACATATGCATGCATGTATAAACACCTGTTGCAAATTGCATTGAATATGTGCATACATTGCTATCTGAGCATAATATTGGTCTTCAGATTGCTAGAATACTTGCAGACATCCAGGAATACTTCCCTTGCCTTCATTATAAGAAACAGCACTCCCAACGTCTCCGGTAATGTCCCGCTCTGGTTCCCAGAACGATATGACAAGAACTGAAACACACATTAGCTCATTCTCTGATGTAATTCCCCAAAGTTCAGCTTTTATTCCATGCTGAGGAGTTTTTAGCATCTACATTTTGCTGCCCAGTTAAGCGCTCTGTGGATTAAAAGAGGTGAATTTGCCTAAAAGTCAATGAAGTTGCTTTTTTCTTCACATCATATTTTATATATGTGATACATATTTTATATCTTATATATTTTACTTTTTATGTATGTATATCTTTCATGTATATGACTTGATTGACGTTGGCGATGAAAGAATAGAGCAGAGATTTGAAAATGTACTTTGCCATTCTCAGAGGAGTTGTAACCATAGGATGCAACTCGGAAAGCAAAAGCATTGAAATGAAGGAACAGCCTCAATTTGCATGAAAAAATGTGCACAAAGTGAACAATGTACATACCAGAACTATGAGGAAAGTTTCGTCGCAGCAGGAAATCTCCACTAGAGAATTCAGACATAGCAGCAATTGCGTAGGGAGAAAAGCGTTTTACCAGAGAACTGCATAAAGAAGATACACCGGATTGCTGTTTGCATGCACTGAGTGAGGAAGATTTGTTCATATTTCTTTAACAACCTAACAGACCAGGACAAAAAAATCTTTATATAAATGAGATATGTGGAAATATTCTTTTGAAGAAGATCTTGAACTTACCAAAAAACCCCATATAAGAACAAAGTCACTTAGGTACACAAAATGTTAGGATAATCATAACTGGAAGGAAACTTCAAAAGAAACTAGGGCAAAGTCTAGAATGCCACACAAAAGAGGTAATAAATGTGACACACTTTGGCTAGAGTTAGTGATTTGCTGTGCTAAAGAAACAAGAAACAAAACCACCTCATTTTTTCCTGTTACGTATTAAATGTAAACCATGGAAGCAGTATTAAGGCAATGACCTGGAAGAAGGGACGAAGAAACTCAAAATCGGTGTTGCTTCGCAAACGTTGCCTTGTTCACATCCTATGCCACACATATTGCTTTGGTAATGATGGAAAAAAAAATAAAAAAAAAAGAAGTCCCAGGCAGGTGTAATAGAGACTGGGTGACAACTCCTACAGGACTCAAGAATTACACCACTGTCAGTCCAGTTCTCTTTTACAGGATTTTCTTGACTTCTTTTCACTGCCTGCTTTAATCCTGACTTTATGTGAAATACGCATAGCCAACCTGGAGAACTAGACGTTGGTGTGACTAAGTCCTCCTCTCTCTGACGCTTCCCCACACGATCTTCTTAAAAAACATTTTGTCAGTTTGCAGGATCAGAACCAAACAAAGTTTTGGTGGAAAAGAGCCCAGATAGTGACTCCTTCCTTTACAGTGTATTTGCACCATATGGTGTGGCAAGATATTAAAGGTGACTGTGCTGGCTCTGCTCTGAACTCTGCTTAGTTTTGGGAAGAGCCAGGAAGACATTAGACTAGCCTTGCATCCTATATGATAAAATTACATTTTCATAGGGCTAATTGGCTATTAGCGCTGAAGCTATTACTTATAGTTTGCCGCTAGCTTAGGCATCAGAAAAACTCATGAAAAGAAAAATAGGGAAA